GTATATTTAATATCATTGAACAACGAATTTTTAATACTCTTCTTAAATTCTGATAAATATTCTTAAATATTTAGTCATAGATATTTTACACTCGATGACGTCATAGCCTTGACCCTATATTGGATCTTTTGAACGAAAATTTCTCAACTGTGGATTCCAAGCAAAACTATAAATAAGACGTGTTTGAATGCAAGGAATTTCAAAATGGGGCGTATTTGTCGTAGCAACCCTTTAGCATCGAATCAACTTATTCAGCTAGACATGTACCCTTCAGAGTCCATCGTGTAATTGTATCAACTAAAATGGATATCTTAAAGTTAGGAAGTCGATAATTTCCTTTATACATTTACTCTTTTTTTTCAGATGTTCAAAGTAATTTGGCCAAATGAATTGAAAGGTAGATGTCGTGACGTCCAGGACAGCATTTCATTGYCCAAAAAGTTTCAACATGACATGGACAGCGAAAGATTTGTGACAAGCTGCATCTACGGTGTCAGCGTCAAACTGGACGTAAAACAGCCCTTCTTCTACTTGAAAGACGTCCTTAATTCAATCCCCGAGCTCTTRAAAAACAAAAAAGATTATCTTTTAAAACAATTGTTGACACAAAGTGAAGTTCCGCACAGGAATCCCAAGAAGGAATGTGAAAGTATCATACTTACCAGTTGTACTTGTCAAGTGCAATCTCAAGAGGAATGTTTCACTGAAACAGATTCAAGCAGTTTTTGCGAATTATTGTCTTTCAAAGAAGAAAAAACAAAAAGTCAAATCGCATTTTCAAYTCTACAYGGCAGTTTTGAAAGTTTAAAATATACCACCGAGGAGTTRCAAAGTTGTGTCMATGGTTCGGGATCTCTGAGAASCATATATTATTCGTTCAACGAAGYGGTTGGTATTAACGATAGAATTTCAAGTCCTGATCTTGAAGCCATTTCTGAAATGTCCCTACAACAGCAACGGCGATGGTTTCTGCTTATTGTCGAGAAAAACCCGTTCAGCTATGAAGCAATTTTGGAAACATCACAAGTAAGTGCTGGAGACCATATCATTTTCGAGCGTGTCAGGGTACTTGGAATGGTGCGCTATTACCATAGTGCAATAGTTGTGGATGTGGATGAAGACAACATCTCMTTAATGGAATACTCAGCCCCCGACCATTTCAAGTTGAATATGGTGCTTGCGGAKATCCCAATGATAGTCAGAACAACAAAAAGTCTGAAAGAATTGATAAACGAAGGAGTAAGTAGAGATGGGAGTACGTTTGCAATTTTGAAGGTGTTGAACGTATCCCTTCAAAGCCCTTCTATTTCTTAGCATTCGTTGCAACAATTCCTTGTCTGGTATCATTATTACCGCACTTTGTTTAAGGAAAATAATTTTTCTGTACAATTTCCACAGTTTACAAGTTCTTGGGCTAAAATGCTTGAAAATAGTAGCACATTGTTTTAAAATGCATGTTCTGTCATGCCTTGTACCCATTAACTCGCTCGAATCGTTCGACTTTGAAAATGCTTGAATTTGCTCAGTCTAGTGTAAATGCATGGAAGGGGCTTATTAACCGAGCGCGAGGGCCGTACGGGAAGTTAAGGACCGATTTTTTTTTTCACCGACTTAATATGGCCAGAGCGCATAGCGCGAGGGCCATAAAAAGTGAAAAAAAAAACCATGTTCCATAACTTCCCGTACGGCTCGAGCAAGCGAGGTTAATAAGATATTTATTATATAGCATTTTCAGGGAAAATAGTAAAATTAATAGAGAATCGGACATAAAAATAAGTTTTRGTTCGTACTTTTCTTGTCATTCAAAGTAGAAGGAAAAATGAAAAGCCTGAGAAACCTTGGTGGCAAAATTTGGATTTATTTTTGACTCTTTTTTATACAGTACAACTACAAAAAGAGAGAAAGCGAGACTTTTTAAGATAAAAACGTTTTTTTCTCGTTTCATTTGGTGCGTACGGGAAAGTATGGGCCGCTTTTTAGGCAATGAAATTGTGTGTTACATCCGAGCTATATAATAATATGCGTTATCAACACACACTGGTAAAAGGTGACTGCCATATCGCAACAAAGGTGAACTTTTCCATCTCAAGGAGGAGCAATCAGCGGAGCGCGGGTTTGTGGTGGAAAATATYAACGGAATTAGACAACAGCACCTAACTAAACTTTAATCTATCTTTATTTCTYATAGGCTAAAAAAGTCAACTGGCCCGAAGTTCTTCAAAGATATACTCCCAATCAAGTGAAGGAACGTGCTAAAATCCGAGAGGGAGAGAATGCGTATAAATTACTCAAGAACAACTGTGAACACTTTGCCTCGTGGTGCAAATGTGGCCTTAACGTAAGTCTTCAAGTCGATGACTGGGTGATAATGGCACAAACGACCTTCTTCTCTTTTCTTGCTGCAATTAAGGAGCATTCCATCACCAGTATTATTCAAGTCCTTGCTAACATTTCCGATAACTTAGCATTGTTCATCAAAAGCTCCTCTTCGTTGTCATTCGTTGCTGGTATAGTACTTGAGATGCTTTTGGCCTTTTACCAGACCTACTCGATGTGCTGTTTATCAAATAAAAACGTTCTAAAAGATGAGCTGTGGAAGGCTGAGATCCATGAGATATGGTCTAAAGGCTCGTGTAGAGTTATCGGTGGCTGCGTTGGTTCAATCTTTGGGTGTGCAGTTGGTGRCGTGGCTATGGGAGGACCGATTGGTGCTGGTCTGGGGCACATGATGATTCCCCTCTATCAGTGGCTTTGCCAAGACAGCGATATGCAAGAACGTGTAAAAACAGCGATCTCTCAAATTCACCAGACACCTACAGAGGAATATTACTCGGAGGCATCGCTTCAAAGTTTGCAGGAATTGTTTGARTCTGATTGRAGCAAAGTGAATAAAGATTCAGAGAACAGCCCAGAAGAGGAGTGGTTAAAACCAATTTACCTGCTTCTACAATCATTCGGAGTTCTATGATTTGTGATTGTACGAACTGTAGTGCTGTAGTATAATAATAATACTATTATTATTATTTTATTATTATTATTATTAGTGCAAAGAAGGATGACTAGTCGATCTTGCACAGAGAGCTGTACTATATTCTTCAAAAATTGGCCCCGGTGAAGGATAAATAGCCGGATTAGGAGAAGAAGGAGTTATAGGCTGAGAGATTCAAAGAACTATACAAAGAGATAATACTGCTCCAGACAAGAACATGATGGGGTGATTTTCATAAGCTCTTATGCACTAGTCAATTGAAAAGGTTATCGAACACTTCAAGACTCTGAGAACTACTTAAGTAACGATGTGGATGGAAAAAGGAATATTGATGACCGCGCCAAGAACAATACAAAGACCTCCGAAAAAGGGAAGTTTTAATCTGGGACGAAACTAGTTTTCCTTAAAATAAAGTTTCTTGGCGTGACTGTGTGTTAAAGACTTCACGTATTGGGTTTAATCCTGTCCAGCATTATGAAATTGAAAAAGTCTTTAGATGTTCGAATTTTACAAATATCAAACAGAAGTTTTAATACTTTTGACTATATAGCACTATGATGGAAACCACATTTTACTCTTTATAGATTAAGTCATATTTCCACTGTTTGAGAAAAATTGTAGATAAAGATGAATGTCCAGTAGTTAGGGTATCGGACATTGAGTTCCTTGTTTTCTTGGAAACGTTACATTTYAATCATAGTTTAAGGGGGGTACACGAYAAGCAATATTTTTCAAATAATTATTTATCACTCTTTCTGACTGTATGGATTGTTTRAAATTGCTCTCTAKTRTGACTCATCTTTTTTATAAATGATGTCTTCAATAAAGTGRTTGAATTGCATYGAAAAATTAACAAAGCTGGTATACTAGAGACTTTGCGTGTAAAACCATGCAATGAATAACTTTCTCTTTCAACCTTTTTACACATTAGCTTTAGGTTGACATTAAAGTACATACTTCTTCAGAGAATACATGCAATTTTGTACAACTATAAATGAAACCTATAGCTTCCTGGGGAATTTGACTAAAAACTTACATAAGCTGGTTAGGGACGTGAATAACAACGTCATGACTAATGTTATTGTGATTTTGTAAGTAGTTTTGGGGACCATCGATTAATCTAAAGCACGTTTTAAATGTTATTTCTA